CTTTCTTATTTTTTAAAGATTTACTTACTATGTATACAGTGTTCTGTCTGCATGTATGCCTGCAGGCCAGAAGAGGGCACCAGATCTCACTACAGTCATATGGTTACTGGGAACTGAACTCAGGACCTCTGGAAGAGCAGCCAGCGCTCTTAACCTCTGAGCCATCTCTGCAACTCCCCCTCACTCTGTAGATCAGACTGTCCCTGCCTCCCAAGTGCTGGGATTAAAGGCGTGTGTCACCACTGCTTGGCTGAAAAAACTTTTTTCACCCTTGTGCTACACACTGAACCAGGGCCTTCTCAGGCCTGGTCAAGCTGGTGCTTAACCACTAGGCTAACCTCCCAACACCATAACAGAACTATAGTACCAAAGGATTAAGTAACTTTCCACTTGGTGAATGTCAACATCCTTTTTTTTTTTTTTTTTTTTTTTTTTTTGGTTTTCCCGGAACTCACTTGGTAGCCCAGGCTGGCCTCGAACTCACAGAAATCCGCCTGCCTCTGCCTGCTGAGTGCTGGGATTAAAGGCCTGCGCCACCATTGCCGACTGAATGTCAACATCTTTACTGTGAAGTGCAACCAGCTTCTGGCAGGGTGACTGTCTCATTGAGTTTTACTTTCAGCTCTAACTCTGAACTTGTACTAACTGAGATGGAAACTCATTTTGCTTACTATGGCTCTATCTCTGGGGAAATGCTTGTCAACAGTTGTGGCATCACTAATGGAGGACAGACATTTAAACCATTTACCAGTTTACGTGCAAAACATCACCTACCATTTCCACTATTACAGCTCAGCATCTATTTTGGCAATCTAAAACCCATTAGCTGTGTAGAGTCCCTCCTGCTTCTTCCTCTGCCTCCAGAGTGCTGGGATTAAAGGTGAGTCATTTTAAATTATTCCTTTTTTAAAAAAATGTGCATTGGTGTTTTGTCTACATGTATGTCTGTGTAAGGGCATCAGATTCCCTGGAACTGGACTTACAGACAGTTGTGAGCTACCATGTGGGTTCTGAGAATTGAACCTGGGTCTGGGTCCTCTGGGAGAGCAGCCATCACTCCAGGCCCGACAGTTCATTAAAAAAAAAAATCAGAAAACATTTCGTGTGTGTGTGTGTGTGTGTGTGTGTGTGTGTGTGTGTGTGTGCACGTGGTGTGTGCCAGTGCTCATATGAAGGTCAGAGGAAAACTTGCCAAGGTCATCATGTAGGCCTCAGGGATCAAACTCAGGTCGTCAGGCTGGTGGCAAGTACCTTTACCCACTGAGTCATCTCACAGGTCCTATCCTCCTCTTTAAAATAAGCCTTGTTGTCCAAATAGGACTTACTTGGAGCCTGCTTTTGATATGGATTATATGGATTTCCCAAGTATATGTATGTTTAAAGGAAGGGATAGAATTTGTGTTTTTAGACGGAAATAAATTTGAGTCAGCATCTGTTATATTCTGTTCAAAAATTGAGTAATTAAGGTGGGTGCAGTGCACATCTTTAATACCAGCACTCAGTACCACACAGTGAGACCCTGTCTCAAACACAACAAAACACAAAAAAACTGAATAATTTCCTGAACATTTAAAAATGCTATAGCTGTCTTGCATTATAAACTATTTTAAAAGATTTTTAAAAGATTTATTTATTATGTATACAGTGTGCCTGCAGGCCAGAAGAGGATACCAGATCTCATTACAGGTGGTTGTGAGTCACCACATGGGTGATGGGAATTGAACTCAGGTCCTCTGGAAGAGCAGCCAATGCTCTTAATCACTGAGCCACCTCTCCAGCCCTAACTAAAATATTTTAAATCATTACATCTTGGAGGTAATTAAGTCTCATATAGAGCCTCTGAACTTAACATGTTCTACTGTTCTGAAAAGATAAAGTAACTAGAAAACATTGATCAAGGCACTTTGTGCAATTAAGAGTGCATATTCTGAGCAGCTAAATGCCAGTTCCACAGCACTGGCCTCTGGCCTGTCAGTCATCTCAGACCTTGCCCCTTCACTCCAGTAACTGTAATGCTCCTTCCTGGACAGCCTTTCCTGCCAAGGCTTCAGGTTCTGCTCTTCAGTAACTGTTACCTGACATCAGTTCACATTGTATTATTACAAAAACAGTTTTTTGTTTTTTTTTTTTGTTTTCGAGACAGGGTTTCTCTGTATAGTTTTGGAGCCTGTCCTGAATCTCACTCTGTAGACTAGGCTGGCCTCGAACTCACAGAGATCTGCCTGACTCTGCCTTCCCGAGTGCTGGGATTAAAGACGTGTGCCACCACCGCCCGTGAGTCAGGTATATCAGGGCATTTGTAGTTCCAGGGTCTCAGTCCAGGCAGTAAACAGGACTGTTTGAACCTAGGATTTCAAAGTCAGCTTGGGTGATACAGGTGACCTCATTACAAAACAAACAAAAATGGCACAGACCATAGTCAGGATATTGTCTCCACTTGCCTGTTGTACTTAACCTCTGTCCTCTGTTTTAAAACAGGTTATTGCCGGGCGGTGGTGGCGCACGCCTTTAATCCCAGCACTCGGGCAGAGGCAGGTGGATCTCTGTGAGTTTGAGGCAAGCCTGGTCTCCAAAGTGAGATCCAGGAAAGGCGCAAAGCTACACCAAGAAACTGTCTCGGAAAAAGAAAAAAACAAAAAACAATAAACAAACAGGTTATCATGCCTGTATTGTCTAGACTGCCCGGGGAACTGCTCATTCTGGAAGTGGGTGGCACTGCCAGGGACAGAGGACAAGTCTCATGGTATCTCTCCACAGCGGGGTGATGAATTTTGGAGTGGGGCGATGAGGGGGCAGCTGGACTGTCTGTAGTTAACTTGTTAGCTTGGGAGTCTAGGTGGATGCTGGCGTAGGAGATGGCGTAAATGGAGGGTATGGGAGGTTCACTGCTGGCTTCCTTGCTAGCAAGCTCCTGTTTCTCAGACCATCCAGCTTCTAGGAAGTCTCCCCTTTCCAGCAGTCCTGCCACTGTGCCTGATCTATTACAACTGCCCTATGGAGGCATCTGCCCAGTCATCTTAGAGGGAGGGAGAGGAATGCATGGCTCAACTCAAGAGCCCTAGGGATCTCCCAAGTTTAGCAAATTTAAAGCAGTCTTGCCAAGGAAAGTTTGAATACTGGAAGAGAAATGCCCTGGCTGTGGGCATCTTCCTAACATGCATGGTGCAGGTGGCTAGATTTTATATTCAGATATATGTCAAGACATTTAAAAAAAAAAGGGGGGGGAGCCAGGTGGTGGTGGTGCATGCCTTTAATCCCAGCACTCGGGAGGCAGAGGCAGGCGGATCTCTGTGAGTTTGAGGCCAGCCTGGTCTACAGAGCAAGATCCAGGACAGGTACCAAAACAACACAGAGAAACTCTGTCTCAAAAAAAAAAAAAAAAACCAAACAAAAAACAAAACCAAAAGAATAAATAAAACAAAATGGGGGGCTGGAGAAATGGCTCAGTGATTAAGAGCATGTATTGCTCTTACAGCTGTGTCCTGGGTTCAGTTCCCAGAAGCCAACTGGTGGCTCACAGCCATCCAGTTCCTAGGGTGTTATATGGTAACTCCTTTTCAGGAGCCAGTGATACACATGATGTCAATATAAACATACAGTCAAAACACTCATACACATAAAATAATAAAAAAAAGACATGAAAAATATCAGTTCAGTGGCAGATTGCTTACCGAGTGTCATGGTTTGAGTACTATCTCCACAGGGCACCAGTGGGTGGGTCTTAGGGGTTATAGTCTAGACCCGATTCCAGCTGAGGCTTCTACTTCTTGATCCGCTCAGATGTGAGCAAGCTGACTCATGCTTCCTCCTGACCAGAGAGCCTTCATCCCACAGATGTGAGCAAGCTGACTCATGCTTCCTCCTGACCAGAGAGCCTTCATCCCACAGATGTGAGCAAGCTGACTCATGCTTCCTCCTGACCAGAGAGCCTTCATCCCTTAAATTGCTCATTGTCAGGCATTTGGTCAATGTGAAAATGAATTGGTACATTTAGCAAACACAAGGCCAGGCCTGGGATGGGTTCCCAGAACTGAAAAATATTAGCGTTTATTCTGACATCCAACACTTTCTGTGGCACTGTGGAATGTTATCCTTGGAGTAAAACGTCAAGTACCATCTTAATCATAGCTGCTGATTACCCGCAAGAGGCCCTGAAGAAGACAGGCTGCTGTTTCCTCACAGAAGGCCTGTGGGGGAGGTCATTAGGCCTTACCCGAGATATCAGCACAGTGCACCCCCAGATGCACGTGATTCTACCCCAGTGGCACGTGATTCTGAGGCGCTAGAGTATACAGGAGGAAAGGTAACTGAGGGTAGAGCTCCATTTCTGCAGCTTTGGGGAAGCTCTCCCACTGCTGAAGCACAACTTTGCTGTGATACAGCTGTTGTGGAGTTACCCACACTCCTGTAAGGCGCCTTCACCCATGCTCCTGGAAAGCATCCACTCAAGTCACCAAGTCAGCAAGCTACTAGGGTAGGATGGTTCTCTGAGATGAGCAGACATTTATCCACGTTGCCCCAGGAAAAGTTAATATAAAAGGTGCAAAAAAAATAATTGTGATAGGGATGCTGAAGTGTAGCTCTTCACAGTTGATGGATTCTGGTTGGGGGGTGGGGAGGACTGGTTTTCTTTAAGGGGCTGCCCACTGGGAGTTTGATCATGATCCTGTGAGTATATGGGCAACACAAATTGGATTTGGTATTTTGGTTTTATTTTTTCCCTCTTTTGTTTTGGGGGAGGTCACAAGGGTGGGGAGTGGACCTGGGAGAACTGGGAAGAAAATGTGATCAGGGTGCATGATGTGAAATGTCCAAATAATCAATAAAAATATGTTATGTATATAAAAAGATTATTACCCCCCCAAAAAAAGGTGCTAAAACTTGTCATATAAACAATACCCAGGACATTTTCTTTTATTCACATATATGAGTGTTTCTACTATATTACATTAAATATTTGAGTCTTCAAAAAGAGGTCAAACTAAATGACACATAACACATTATGAATAATTATGAACATTTATTAAGCACCAAAGGTATACAGCAATGGTTGGTACATAAAAAGCACAGTTATTGATATAATTTCCTGCCATTAAGCTTATAATCTAAAATAAAATACAAGAATATTGTCAGCCTACATCAAAGTTTCCTAAACTTGGAATTGGCTACTTTGGCAAATGGATGAGGCAAAATGACCTATTTCAGGCAAAGTGTTAATAAGGCTTTGAACATGACACAAAAATATTTTATGTGTATCCGTTTTCCCCATTACATTAGGATAACTAAGGACAAAAAGAGCACTTAGAAATTTGATGAGCACAAAGAATTATTTCAGATCGCCCCTAAAATTCAAACAGAGATGTTCACTGGCAATGCCAGCAGCCAGCAAAACCCAACAACAAACAGGAACTAGACCAACTCTTTGTCTTTGCTCCACTTAAACCTCCCCATCTTCTTCCACACTAAGGGCTCTAATGACACCCACCACAGAGAGAAGCACCTTCTCTTGATTATGTATCATATAATTACCAAGTCAAACTTGCAGGAAGAGTCCTGTCTGAAGCAGACTGAGCAAAGATGGCAGTGGGGACTTTGGCTATGCGATGACACGTAAGACGTGTAAGCAGAGGCTCAGGCCATACATCTCCAAAGCGATGAGGGAAGCATGTGCACGCGTGCTTTTCTGCTCCCCGTTTCTAGTGAGGTACCTAAGAACTTAGCATTGAGACCCTAGACTACAAATTCTACTTGCCTAAGTGCATGGATAATACTTCATAAATACTTTTAAGGTGTTCACTGCTTGTCATCATTAGCTGGCAAAGGCACACTGAAGATATTTTGGTTCTTATTGTCAAACACAATTTTAAACTGCTAAACAAACACAAAGCATGTATTGTTTTTAATCACTTAGTTTTCTTAATCACAAAAGAATATTAAAAAATAAAAGAACTGGTTACAAGTTAGTTATCTGAAAACAGAAATTCTATAATGTGCACAACCAAGTATTTGAAAAAAGTCATGATTACAAACATTTGAATGGCAGAGTAATAGCATCCTGAGATACACTTTTTTGTATATATGTGTGAGTATATATTTCTGAATGTGTGCATAAGTGTGTGTATGTGGAGACCAGATGTCCATCTTGGGGTGTCTGTCAGTCCTCAGGAACCATCCACTTTGCTTCTTTTGAGACAGATATTCCCCTTGGATCTGGGGCTCACCAGTTAGGCTGGGTTGGCTACCCAGTGAGTCCAGAAATCTGTTCACCTCCAGGTTCAAACTCAGGTCCTCAGGCTGGTATGACAAGTACTTTACCAACTGAGCTCTTTCCTAGGCCCCTGAGATAGCCTTTATGGCAAAGCAATATACTAGTGTTTTTGTTTGTGGGGATGTCTTGGGGGACAGCATCACAGACTGTAACCTAGGATTGGACTCCAAATCATATCAACCTTCCTGCTTTAGCTCCCAAGTGCTGAGACTACAATGTGAGTCACTATACCCAGCAATGTTGGCTATATATATCTTGGTAACTTAGAAAAAAAAGGCAACACGTTAGCAGCAGAAACATTTTTAAAATGCTCATACTGTTGCATATTGAGTTTATTAAAAAAAAAAATGGTCCAGACATTTCAGGATAAAAATTTTTATGAAATAGAACTGATTTTTACCTAAAGTTAATATTCTTACTACCTTCTTTCAATCTAAAAGTATCATTTATAACTTTTTACTATCTTATAGTAGATAAAACCCAATTATGACATTTGAAATGAAAAAACCTAAAACATATATCACCATCATCCTAATAAGAGGACAGGGATTAATTTCCATATCTCAGTCCAAGTATTTTTATTTGGTATTATATGAAACATCTAGAATTCTTGATTAGGGAATGAAGTTTTCTTTTCTCTATTTTTTTTTTTTTTTTTTTTGTTTTGAGACAGGGTTTCTCTGTGTAGTTTTGGTGCCTGTCCTAGATCTCACTCTGTAGATCAGGCTGGCCTAGAACTCACAGAGATCTGCCTTGGCTCTGCCTCCCCAGAGCTGGAATTAAAGGCGTGCGCCACTGCTGCCTGGCGGGAATGCAGTTTTCTAAGGCAAGGCAAGTTAGATTATGTCTGAAACATAAATATTAGCACACAGGTAATATGACCTACACAGTCACTTTTTTTGAAACAATGTTTCAATATGCAGCCTTAGCTGGCCTAGGACTCCCAAGAGATCTGTCAATATGACCTACACAGTCACTTTTTTTGAAACAATGTTTCAATATGCAGCCTTAGCTGGCCTAGGACTCCAAGAGATCTGTAAGAGATCTGTCCGCCTCTGCATCCAGAGTGCAGGGATTAAAGACCAGGGCTGCCATCCCTGGCTCACACCCACTTTTCAAAGTATACATTCCAAGATGCATAATATTTCATCTCATGTCCTATTTGAATACTATATATTTTACATTAAGCTTAAAAGCATAATTGTGTAATATATTTTTTAAATGCTTCATTTTCCCAATATCACAAAGTGTGCAGTATTTTCAAGATAACTGGCATAGTTTTTTTGTTTGTTTTGCTCAAGACTGTAAAAGACATACTAGTAGCTACAGCAACTTTATTAAGTAACTGTATGAAGAAAAAAGTTCATAAGAACAAAATAGAAAACTAAGCATAGTGATTTAACAAAAATTCAAGTCATTCTGAAACATTTTTGCTTCTTAGTAATATGCATGTTCCTTTTACAACACTAGCTGGATAAATACACTAAGACTGCATAGGAATTATTTTGGTAGTTTACTTATCTTTCTTATATCCTTCTCCAGTATATGAGTGAGAAATTATTTTCTTATGATATAAAATAAAGTCTGGAGTCTTTTAAAATCTGAGTCATGTAAAAGCTCACTCTATAAATCCCAGTCAAAGTATTTATTTTTATTTGGTATTATATAGCATTCCTGATTAGGGAGTGCAGTTTTCTAAGGCAAGCAAGGCAAGTTAGATTAGGTATGAAGCATAGGTATCAGCACACAGGTAATATGACGTACACAGCCACTTTTCTTTCTTTGAAACAAGGTTTCAATATGCAGCTGTGGCTGGCCTAGGACTGTGGAGGAAGTGGGTTCTCTTTCCACAGGGACCCAGCGTTGATTTGCAGAGCACAGTGCTTAATGTTGAAGAGTTAAATTTATTGTTTGGAGGACAAGGCTTAATCAAAATTACCCTTTAACATGTTTTTTTTTTTCTTTTCTTTTCTTTCCTCTTTTTTTTTTTTAAACAGTTCACAGACTGCTAAGGCTAAAGTCTTGATTTCATCTGTGTTTTACATCAGAGTAGATATGTTTTCTTTTTAAATCAGAAAAGGGAAGTGAAGAAAAGCATTCTCTCTAATGCTTTGATCCACCTTTAGGTAAGGGTGGGTCAACTTAAGTACTATTGGTTAGAAGACAGAACAGAACAGAACACACCAACCAGAAGTTACTTCCTCCCTAAAGTCTCAGCCAGTTTCTTAAGTCTTTTCTTCAGTTCCAGTGGGAATTTCTCATAGCACTTCTTACAGACTGGCTTCATGTCAAACTCCACAAATTTATTCCTAAAGATAATTAAAAAGAAATTAGTGGAAATATATCAAGCGCGCGCACACACACACACACACACACACGAGATAATGTGACATAAATTCACTAAACTATATATAAACAAAGACACCAATATAACATACAATATAAAATATCTACATTCACGTCAGTAAAGAACTGTAATTCTTTTTTTTTTTTTTTTTTTGGTTTTTCGAGACAGGGTTTCTCTGTGTAGCTTTGCGCCTTTCTTGGAACTCGCTTTGGAGACCAGGCTGGCCTCGAACTCACAGAGATCCGCCTGGCTCTGCCTCCCGAGTGCTGGGATTAAAGGCGTGCACCACCACCGCCCGGCTAAAGAACTGTAATTCTAATCTCAGTTCTTTTTATGATAAATGTATAGAATGATTGGTAAGCCGGGCAGTGGTGGTACACGCCTTTAATCCCAGTACTTGGGAGACAGAGGCAGGCAGATCTCTGTGAGTTCAAGGCCAGCCTGGTCTACAAAGAGAGTTCCAGAGCAGCAAGGGCTACACAAAGAAAGCCTGTCTCAAAGAAACAAACAAACAACAACAACAACAAAAAAAAACAAAAGAAAAAAAATAAAAAAGAATGATTGGTATCAGTTAAAAAAATATACTTATATAATGGTTCTGTACAGCTATATTTAGAACATGAAATGTTTATTAAATCTTATGTATATAATTTAGATAAAGTCAATCAAATTTAATTTTTTATATTTATTTATGTGTATGAGTATTTTGCTTGCACATGTGTCTGTGCACTACCTGGTGTTCATGGAGGTCAGAAGAGGGTGTTGGATCTCTGGGACTGGACTTAGAGATGGTTGTGAGCTGCCATGCCTGTGCTTAGAAATGAACCTGGGTCCTCTGAAAGAGCAGCAAGTGCTCTTAACCACTGAGCTGTCTCTTCAGCCCAAGTATAGTCAATCACATTTTAAAGTATGAGGCTAATGCTTTCTTCTTGTCTGCCTCCTACCTGATAGTTGGTGGAGACAGTATCACTCTGGAGCCCAGGCTGGCCTAGAACTCATGGTGGGTTTTCCGTCTTAGCCTCCCGAATGTTGGGACTGGAAGTGTGAACCATCATGCCTGTCACCAATTCATTTATTCCAACAGTAAGTTTATTTAAAGCAAAGAACTAGTTTTTATAATGTGAGTGACTTACTGTTTGAAAGTAAAAAGATATTACTATTTAGTATTTTAAATTAGGCAGCTGTATGGTTTCATTTTCCTATACAGATTATTTTCCTTCTATCTCCTAATTTAAAAAATTACCTTAAATTGTTAAAAAAAAAAAAAAAAAAGAGCTTAAATCCTAATAGGTTATTTTAGCTATTGGGACAAAACGGCTGCTATCATTCTTGAACAGTAAGGTAACTGCAGCACCACCGTAAGGATCCCTTAAGTGGTAAGTTCAGTGGAAAACCTGATTCTTCTTTTAAAGCTAGACCACCACATAGTATCACTCTACTTGTGAACAGCTCTGGAGAAAACAACTCTTAGATGGTCTTCATCTCCAGTGCACCCACATAGCAATTGCAGGAGCTTCTTATTGTCGAATTCCAAGGTCTGTAATTTTGAGTTACTATATAACTTTGTAACTTGTTCATCTGCTGTGAAGTTATACTTCGGAAGCATTTGTAGAACAAGCCTAGTGATACACTGTTATGAATGACAATAATTACAAAATGTGCTGAAATCTTAATGCATCTTAAAGCACATTAAATTGAAAACGACTTGTTTTGAGGTAATTTTGTTTGTTTGAGCTCTCTATACAGACCAGGCTAGCCTTGAACTCAGAGATCTGTCTGTCTCTGCTTCCTGAGTGCTGGATTAAAGGTGTGCGCCACCACATCTAGCACTGAAGTGATTTTAAAGAACAATGTTAATAGTAAGAATAATTCCTACTTATATATTTAAAATTATTTTTCTATTTTTTATAGTACTATAATTACATATAGTTCAGGGTGGCCTTGAACTCAAGACAATCCTCCTGTTTCAGCCTCCCAAGTGCTGGGATGACAGTTGTGGGCCTGGGTTTCCATCTATTTTTCACAGAGAAACTAATGTGGACACCAATTCAAATGTTAAATGTTGCCAAGTGGCAAACCAAATATTTGAGGGGCAGTTTAGTTTAAATGGTGGTGAGATCAGGCTTGTGCACATGCCTGCCTCATCTGTGGGCTCAGCTCAGCTGTTCTGTCACAGTGTGGCAAGGACACCTTTCTCTGTGATCTTTAAATGGTGCTGGGCTCTTACTCTTGGCTTGTATGGAATGTGTTTCAATATTTGACACTCTGTTGAATTACTGACAGGATTGTTTCATTTTTTTCCTCATGGTTTTTGGAACTCTTAAAAAATTTTATTTTTATTTCCTTTTGTTAAAGAATTAGAAGGGAAATATAAACTTCAAACAAGAGAACTGGTTAGTCTGTTTAAAGCAGGATTTTTTTTTTTTTTTTTTGAGACAGGATTTCTCTGTGTAGCTCTGGCTGTCCTGAAACTCGCTTTGTAGACCAGGCTGGCCTTGAACTCACAGAGATCTTTCTGCCTCTGCCTCCCCAGTGCTGGGATTAAAGGCGTGCGCCACGACTGCCTGGCTAAAGCAGGAATATTTAAACTTTTGCCCACAAGATAGCTTTTGTTCTAAGGAAACATTGGGAAAACAGCACAGATGAGGCAGGCATGTGCATGGAAGCCAGTGTTCAGTATGGTCTCATTCAGTTTTATACCTGTAATAGGCGAAGGAACCAACTCTACACAGGACAAGTATATTTCAGTCTCTGATGGCCACAAAAACATGCAAAAAAAGAAAAGGACAGACAGACAAGCAGAAAGAACGGCATCCCGAAGACTGACCACAGGCACAGCAGTGGGAACGGCCTGGAAGGGACAGAACGTTACAGACACACGGGCTTTCTCTTTCTCTGCTTGTCCTTATCCTTTGCTTCTCTCTCCCGTTTGGCAAGTCGCCTCTTAAACTCTTCTGGCATTTTCTCATAACAGTATTTGCAGACTGGCTTTAGATCAATTTCAACAAACTTATCCCTTTGAGCAGAACAAAGAAGAAGGGACAGAACAGAACAGTTAAAGAAGAACATTTACATCAGAGGACTCAGGAGAAAGAAGACGAAGGCAGCAGTCACTCCCCTTCTTAGAGTCTAAATGGCATCTGAAACCTAGCTTTAGCAGTCACGCTGGGCCGACCAAGGACTTACTTGAGTGTTAACTTGGTATTGCAGGTGGAACAGGCAAAGCAGCTCACACACCAGGCCTTGTTGAGGGCAGAGACCACTGGGGAAAAAAAGAGATCCAGTCACACGGGGCGTTTCACTGTGGGAAGAGGGGCTTGTTTCCAACCCTGAAGAACAAAGAAGGCTGTTCCCAAGTGCCTTCTTTCTTGAGAGGTTCCTTCATTTTTGATACAGAGTCCTACTCTGTAGCCCAGGCTGGACTGAGCTCCTGATCTCCCTACCTTAGCCTCCCTGATTCTGTAATTATATAGGTGCATCACCATGCCTGATAAGGGGTCTTTTTTTCTTGCAAAAACAGTTAAAAAACTCAACGCTATTAATATGCTTCCAACAAATCTATTTTGGCTATTTTTTTTCATTCTTTTGTTTGTTTTTTGAGGCAGGGTCTCACTATGTAGCTCTTGGCCAGCCTGAACTCAATATATATGGACCAGGCTGGCCTCAAACTCATAGAGATTTGCCTGTGTCTATCTCCTGAATGCTGGGATTAAAGACATGTACCACCAAGCCTGGCTTTTTTCACATTATTAAAAAAATAGGGAGGTGGTGGGTGGTGCTCACCTTTAATCCCAGCACTCGAGAGGCAGAGCCAGACAGATCTGAGTTGGAGGCCAGCCTGGTCTACTGAGCGAGTTCCAGGACAGGCTCCAAAAGCTACACAGAGAAACCCTGGCTTGAAAAACCAAAAACCAAAAAAAAAAAGGTTTCACTTTAAGCAAGAGTATTTCTATCTTGGAATGTTCTTCTTTTCGCACTTGTCTTTGTGCTGGGTGCAGGTATGTATCTGTGACGAGAAGCCTGAGACTGAGACGGGGGTTCTCTTTGAGCACTCTCAGTCTTACTACTCGAGGAAAGGTCTCTTAGTTGAACTCAGAGCAGCCACTACAGCTAGTCGGGTTGGCAGCTTGCTCCGGGGAGCTCTGCCTCACTGGAAAGACAGGCAGGCGGCACTGAGCAGGCAGCATTTACAGTGCTAAGGCCAGAGCGCTGGTCCTCATGTTACACAAGCACTTACCCTCCTAGCCCTGTCTTGCCCTTTTTAGATATTAATTTTTCTCTACTTACAAACTGGAGACACCAACTACAATTCCTTCTCAGCACTGTGGGCAGTAGCCAGCCTGTCTCATGTTGCTCAGATGAGCTTTTCTGACAAGGCTTGAAGACCAACAGCTCTTTGCTGTGTTTCTGTCTCTACTGCTATTGGCCCACTGAAGAAATAGGAATCAGATACAATATTTTTTTGAACTCCAGACTTTATCTGACTGTGAGGGAATTTCTTTCAAAGATGACACTAAGAATCTAACTTCCTTTGTCTTTTCAAGTGTCTCCTGCAGTTAAGTTGATTTGTTACGGCCCTAAAGATGGTTCCTGGACTAACCTTGCTACTAACTGCAGTTTTCCACAAAGCATTTCCTGATTAGGTGATGTCTGCTGAGAACCATAAAACATGTTGTAAACAGTGTTGTTTAGAACTGTCAGGAAATTTCTGGCAGGGCTGGTTAGTGACCATTAGCAAACACAGCTGCTTTCCCATGTTGTAGCCAATCTGTCCTGCCTGTCCTGGTTAGCCCACACACTAAGTCCTAGCGACTCGGTACACAGCTTACAGCAGCTGGCCTGCCCGGTTAGTCTGTTCACTAAGTCCTAGCGACTTGGTACACAGCTTACAGCAGCTGTCCTGCCCGGTTAGTCCGTTCACTAAGTCCTTGTGACTCGGTACACAGCTTACAGCAGCTGTGCTGCCCAGTTAGTCCGTTCACTAAGTCCTTGTGACTCGGTACACAGCTTACAGCAGCTGTGCTGCCCGGTTAGTCCGTTCACTAAGTCCTTGTGACTCGGTACACAGCTTACAGCAGCTGTGCTGCCCGGTTAGTCCGTTCACTAAGTCCTTGTGACTCGGTACACAGCTTACAGCAGCTGGCCTGCCCGGTTAGTCCGTTCACTAAGTCCTTGTGACTCGGTACACAGCTTACAGCAGCTGTCCTGCCCGGTTAGTCCGTTCACTAAGTCCTTGTGACTCGGTACACAGCTTACAGCAGCTGTGCTGCCTGGTTAGCCCATCGCTCCACTGTGGAGCACCTGAGAAGCACACCAAGAGGAAATAAGGGATAATGACCACATCACGGCCATAGAAGCGGTCAGCGCCTTTCACTTTCCATACCACAGGCGTCCTTATGCTGAAGTGGCCTCATTCACCCCAGGTACATACCGTCCCCTTCTATGACACGGTTGCAGTGGAAACAGACGTCACCAAACAGCTGAGGATGAAGACGAGAAATAAGTGGTGAGGGCTCAAGGTGTGCCGGGATTAAGTTCTTTACAATAAATATCTCTATGATCTCTGTCCTTTCTGTTACCACTGAAAAACAAGTGGCTGGCAACTAAAGTTTAGAATTTATCCTTTCTAGAGAAAAGTAGTAATCGATTAGTTACAATGAAAATCGTTCACTTTTCATCACTTTAACATTTCCTGGTGACAATCTGAGCACCAAAATAATTAATAAAAAATACAAGTCCTTCCAGATAAGAAATGGACAATCAAGCGACCCTATGCCCAGGAGGGAGGATGATGGCTGTTCAGGCAGAGTACCGACAGCCAACTGAGGATGGAGGGCATTAAACCAGGTAACTATCATTTCCACCCAGAACAGCAGCATCATTGCACGTCAGCAAATCTCAGCAGGAGGACATTTACACAGTCAGAAAGTGACTGTTCACAGGTTGCTATTGGATATAAGGGAAGGGGAAAACAGCAATTCACAGTGCAGATATAGCCAACACCAAGCCTGCATGGCACCAAGGGAGGAGCAATGAACACAGAGGAGAGGCTCTGAGAGAACATGCCACTACCTGTTCAGTATTCTAGCCAAAACCCCTGACTCTTCACTGAGGAGGAGCTAGGACAGTTGATGGCTTCTGGGGGAAGCAGAGTCAACCTTCCTTAAGAGTAGAGCTCCTGACCCATTCCAGATGGCTCAGTGGTTATAAGCATTGACTGCTCTTCTAAAGGTCCTGGGTTCAATTCCCAGCAACCACATGGTGGCTCACAACCATCTATAGTGGGATCTGATGCCCTCTTCTGTCATGCAGGCATACATGCAAGTAGAGCATTCATAAACATACATAAACAAATAAATCTTTTTTTAAAAAAAGAGTGTAGCTCCTGTAAACTGACCATGCTTCAGTGCACATAGCCCTATACCCAGATGTAAATGGGAGCAAACTGGAGTAGATGGGTTATTTAAAAAAACAAACAAACAAACAAAAAACTGGGGGGGTTATAAGAAGGTAGGGTGGGGCTGGAGAGATAGCTCAGAGGTTAAGAGCACTGACTGCTCTTCCAGAGGTTCTGAGTTCAATTCCCAGCAACCACATGGTGGCTCACAACCACCTATAATGAGATCTGGTGATCTGGTGTCCTCTTCTGGCCTGCAGGAAGAACACTGTATATATAATAAGTAAATAAATCTTAAAAAAAAAAAAAGGTAGGGTGTAGGAAGGTCAGGTAAATCTGGGAGGAGTTAAGAGTGAGATAGGCGTGAACATGATTAAAACACATTGTATGAAATTCTCAAAGAACTACTACAAATATTAAAAAAAAAAAATCTATTCATGGGCTGCGGAGGCATCTCAGTAGTTAAGAGCACTGGCTGCTCTTCCAGAGGACCCAGGCTCAATTCCCAGCATCCATGTAGTAGCTCACAACTATTTATAATTTCAGTCCCAGGGGATCCAATGTCCTTTTCTGGCCTCTATAGACACTGCATACATAGGGTGAACAGACACACAATTGGGCAAACACATAAAATGAAAAAAAAACTCAAAACAAAAACAACAAAAAAACTATGGACTGAAATACACATATATAACTGTACATGAAGATATGTGTATTGATATAACAGTCTATTTTTATATAGTAAAATCAAATGCATCCAGGGGAAGCAAATGCAGATTATGGGAAAAGGTAGATATATAGATATTATTTGTATGTTATTTATGAAGTATTCCAAGACTCAATGATTTAAAATACATCTCTGTAGACCAATGCACATTTTCCAAGAGCTTTCTCTACAGCTGAAACATTGATGAGTTTCAATTTGCATGTATCAAATATCTAGTAAGTACAATCATTACCTGATTATAGTGAGTTTCACAATAGGCCAAGCCCTTCCTCTCATAATGGCGATGTCCAAGAAATGGCTTTTCACATTTTGCACAAACAAAATGCTGGAAAAACATTGAATAGATTATTTTTGAGATGCTGTTATTTGATTTAGCTAACAAAGTAACCTCAAAGTTAACTAATTCTTAAAAAGATAGTAAGATCAATAACCAGATCCCCCCTTTTTTGGGGGCGATAGCGCCTCACTATGTAGATCTGATAGCTCTGTCTGATGTAAAATCTGCTGTGTAGACCAGGGTGGCCTGGAATTCACAGATATCCATCTGCCTCTGCTTCCTGAATGCTGGGTTTAAAGGTGTGTGCCACCATACCTGGCAAGCCCAGCTACTTTTATGGTCTCAATTCTTGTGTCTATGAGGCTCTAATGGGTTACCTTAGCCAGGTGGTGGCTGCACACGCCTTTAACCCCAGCACTGGGGAGGCAGAGGCAGGTGTGGGGCAGAGGCAGGTGTGAGTTGAAGGTCAACCTGGTCCACATAGTGAGTTTCAGGAAAGCCAGGGCTACACAGAGAAACCTTGTCTTGAAAAACCAAAAAGATAACTGCTCAGCAGTTGGAAGCACCTGCAGTTCTGGATTAGGATGTGTGTTTGGTTTCCAGCACCAGTACGGCAACTTATGACTATCCATAACCCCAGTTCCGGGATCTGATGGCCTTGTCTGACCTTCACAGGCACCAGACACACACATGCAGGGAAAACACTCATACACATACAATCAAATCATCTTAAAAATACAAACTATTAAATAAGACATATGGAAGGAGATGGGCATCCCAGTGTATCTGTAACTGAGAATAACTAGTTGTTACAACTGTGACACTTGTCCTCAAGAAGGAATTAAGAACAAAGTACACACCCTGCAGTATGCTGTCATGTTACAACATTCTAGATTTTTTTTTTATTTATTATTAAGTTGTGCTGGTTAGCTTTGGTCAACTTGATACAAACTAGTCTATAACTCTAGATGTTGCCTCCACCAGGCTGGTCTGTGGACATGTCTGTGGGGTATTTTCTTGCTTGCTAATAGATGTGGGTGGGCCCAGTCCACTGTGGGAGGTGCCATCCCTGGGCCAGCTAACCTGGGCTGTGTAAGAAAGGTGGCTAGCTGACAATGAGCCTGGAAGGGAGCCAATGAGCAGCATTTCTCCTTGGTCTTGGCTCCAGTTCCTGCATCCAGGTATCTGACTCGAATTCCTGACTTGGCTTCGCTTCATGATGGAAATAACCTGTAAACCATGATAAACCCTTTCTTCTCCCAAGCTGCTTTTGGCCAGTTGTTGTTGTTTGTTTTGTTTTGTTTTTGAGACAGGGTCTCTCTATGTAGTCCTGGTTGAGCTGGAACTTATGATCTAGCCTGGGACTCATGGAGAGGCTCCTGGTTCTGCTCCCAAGTGCTGGGATTAAAGGAGTGAGCCACCACACTTGGCTTGGTCAGTTTTTTGTTTATTTGTTTTTTAAATCACAGTGATAGAGAAATGAATTAGGACAAAAGTCAACTGTTTTGAAAAACATGCCACCACTTAGTCTTTAAATGTTCTTATCTTGCTACCACACCTGAGGCATAGAAACTGAAAGTACTGGCTATCTTTGGCCAGGGTTTACTTACCTCCACATGCCATTGCTTGCCCATGGCATTCACTACTCGCCCTTCAATGGGTCTCCGACAAGCACCACAGATAGGGACCCCCATCTTATCATGACATGGCAGACAGTACAGCTCCCCTTTCAGCTCCCGGGCATCAGCAGTTAGCTCCTTCCTGTCCACCAAAAGACATTCAACTAAATACTACTGTACAGCTGAACAGGTACCCAACAGAGGTAGCAGAATTTTTTTATAAGATTTTAAAAGATAAAATCACATCAAGCCCTGACAACTTCTATTTTCCCCCCATAAACCTGAATTAAGGGACTTGTCTGGGTTTCAGGTTGTTACCAGTATCTTGTATTAATGGTGAGATACAAGAAAAGGTCAGACACACGCCACTCAGTCCTGTTCATCATTGCTGTCCCACAGTAACATGTTACATTTCAGTCCATTTGTCTTCCTTAAAACTCACAGTGCTGGGTCCAGGAATAGTAGTCCACATTTGTAATCCCAACACTGGGAGGCTGAGGAAGGAGGATTGTGAGTTTGCAGACAGCCTGGGATACACAGGTGTGCATTATTATGAAATATAAATTATATTGAGTGAGGGGCACAGTAGGCCCCACCCTTAGCTGAGGAGCTCTTGGCAGTCAATGGCTATTGGCAGAAGGGGAATCATTTGCCTTCAGGGGTATAGCCACTGGTAAGGTGTCCATGATCCAGGAAATAACTCCACAGCCATGTACTTGCAAGCAACCCTAATTAAACTCAGTGGACTATAAAAAACAAAAACAAAAACAAAAAACCCCCCCCCAAACAAAAAACAAACAAACAAAAAAAACAAAAAAAGAGGAGAATGGGTGTGACTTTCATTAAAACATGTTATATACACATATGGAATTGTCAAAGAATAAACTATTAAGACAAAAAAAAATAAGAAAAGAAATCATACTGGTAAATCATTATGGGCCTTAAATTTTTTTTAAATGTGTATAGGTACTTCGTATGTATGCCTGTGCATTAAATGTGTGCCTGGTGCCTGAGAAGGCCAGAAGAGAGCATTAGATGCCCTGGAACTAAAGTTACAGAGGGTTGCATATTGCCATGTGGGTGCTAGGAATTGTGCCTGGGTGCCCTGGAAGAGGAGCCAGTGCTCTTAACTACTGAGCCATCTCTCCAGCTCCATCATATGCTACTTAAGCTTACTAAAAAGTTGGCTATGGATGTGGAGTAGACTCCTTATCCCAGAGTCCAGTATATTTAATTCAAGTATCCTTCAAGACTCCCTGTTCTGGGGCAGGGTGGCCCTCAGGTGCTACAGAAGGGAGGAAGGACAGCAAACAGTGAAGGTTTTTAAAAGACTCTAGCCTTGAGAAAAATGGATGGTGAACCATTTCCAACAGAGGTTCCCATGGTTCAGCCACTAGTATAAGCATGCCTATGGTGAGAAAGGGAACCCAGAAGCTCATCCATGGAGATCATCTGCTCTGTCTAGAAATCTCTCAATGGAGAACTCAAATGAGAGCTGGAGAGATGGCTCAGTGGTTAAGGTACTGGCTGCAGTGGACCTGGGTTCAATTCCAGCATCCATGTGGTAGATGACAACCATTTTTAATTCTAGTTCCAGAAGATGTAATTCCCCATCATGACTTTCACGGACACCAGGCACATATGTAGTGCACATACTTCATGCAAGCAAAACATCAAGACAGATAAAAAATAACTCAAGCATGACTGTTTCAGCAGTCTACTCATTTCTGCTGGATGATGTAAGTGCCTAATTTGATGACACTATTTCTACCTGCTCTCTCAATTAGGCTACTCTAGTAATTTCTGTTTGGATGTTTTAAGCACCTGATTTGGTGATAATATGTTACCTGTGCTTTTTATGTGAGGTCTGCTAATTGTTCTTTTACTTTGCTTCCTACCTGGTTATAAACTCACTCATTCAACACTGAATAACCAGCTATCACAGATCATTATCTGAAGAGTAGAGCCTTTATATAATGCTCTTGGTCCCTCTATGGTCTAACACTAAAAGTGGGAGAACTAAGGGTTTAACTCCATGCACACCATTTGCCTAGCACACACAAGACTACAGGTGTACACAAGACTACAGGTGTACACGTGTACACACACATACACATACACACACACACACACACACACACACCCCAAATAAAATAAAATAAAATAAAATAAAATAAAATAAAATAAAATAAAATAAAAGCTTGAAGAAGACAAGTGAACTGGTCTGTTGCAGTAACAGAAATATAGGTAACTTTGCTTCTTCACTTGAATGCTACTGTTTTGCACGATGTCAGGAAAAATACTGTAATACCCGCAGTTGGCACAGTTGAAGTGGTCTGGATGGTAAGGGTCATTCTTGAAGATCAGAGGCTGTTCATCAATGATGGCATGGCATTTCTGGCAGATGTATTTTCCAAGGCCTCTGGCCTTTTCACGATTATGACATGGACGACACAGGTGTCTATACAGGGCCAAAATGGAAATTTAAAATCTTAAGTTCTTTTTAATCATTAGAAATAAACTTCTCATATCTCTGAGCAGAAATTAGAGAAACCATTTTTTTAGAAAACTATTTCCACCTTTCCGGCGGTGACGACCTCCCTATGAGAACATGCCTCTCGCAAAAGATCTCCTTCCTCCCTCTCCAGAAAAGGAAAAGAGGAAACACAAGAAAAAGCGCCTGGTGCAGAGTCCCAATTCCTACTTTAAGGATGTGAAATGCCCAGGATGCTGTAAGATCACCACGGTCTTTAGCCATGCACAGACGGTAGCCTTGTGTGTCGGCTGCTCCACTGTCCTCTGTCAGCCCACAGGCAGAAAAGCAAGGCGGACAGAAGGATGCTCCTTCAGGAGGAAGCAGCACTGAAAAGCACCTGATTCAAGATGAGTGCGAACCATCCCAATAAAACACATTTTAGATTAAAAAAGAAGAAAATCATCTCCTGTGCTTAGTAGAGCAGACTCAAAGTGCAGGAAAAATCTGTTCCACTAATAACCCACAGATGAGCATGGACTTCATCAATGCCCATATCTCACCGGCAGAATAGGAGGCATGCAGGAACAGACCCCGTGACTAAGCTCTGGGGTCATTTCCCAGTGTATTAAGCAATTCAGTGCATGGTTAGTTCTACATTCTCATCCCTAGAGCAGTACCTCATACTCCATAGGGAAAATGCATGAATCTTGAACAATCCCATTGGCCACCCACATCCAGCAAGGATGGCAAAGTCCTACCTGCCAGCATTCTTGACAAACCCTATGTCTGCCAGCACTTCCTGGCAGAGGTCACATCGAAAGCATTCAGGATGCCAGCTGTTGTTCATGGCTTTAATAACCCGACCAATGATGAATTCACCTACGGGAAAGGAAAGCACGGAGAATGCATGAGATGTCTTATTTGCTATAGACAGAAGGGGCAAGTGTTTAAGGAGGGCTTACTAGGGACTGACCAGTGCTCCTCAATGCTAAGCCACTGCTTTACCCGGGTTACAGCCAGCTCCAGCCCTCTGATTCTTCCCTTTTAATTTCTGACACAGGGCCTCAAGTGAATTGTTCAGGCTGCCCTTAAACTTGAAATCCTCCTGCCTCAGCCTCCCATAGCTAGGATTACAGGTCTGTATTACCAGCCTAATTTAAAGAAGACCTTTTATACTGTGTCTGTTGGAGTAAGAGAGCACACAAATGATCATTCTTTCATCTGAGTCCCCATTTTTTATTTTGTAGCCACATTTTTTTTTTTTTTTTTTTTTTTTTTTTTTTTTTTTAAAGATTTATTTATTTATTATGTATACAGCATGTATGACAGCAGTCCAGAAGAGGGCACCAGATCTCATTACAGATGGTTGTGAGCCACCATGTGGTTGCTGGGAATTGAACTCAGGACCTCTGGAAGAGCAGTCAGTGCTTTTAACCTCTGAGCCATCTCTCCAGCCCTGTAGCCACATTTTAAAGCTGTCGTTTGTCTAGCTCTGAATCTGGCTTTCCTTTCCAAACGTCCTTCCAGTGTCTCGTGGTTGTTTACAGTCACTGTTGACAGAGACAACTGAAACCTATACACTTTTTCCTTTGACTCTCACTGGCCCGCTCAGTGGTGGGGATCGAACCAAGGGCCTTTGAATGCTAAGCGTTTTTTACCATTGAGTGTTATAACTTCAGTCTCTACAACGCATTTTCTGTTTTTTGTTCTTGCTGTGTTTTTCAGACAGGGTCTCACTATGCACCCCGGACTGGCCTGAAACTTGCTCTGGCTGCATCAGACTCAGAGGTCCTCCTGCATGTTTCACAGAGTGTTGGGATCATGTCTGGCTTGGCACTTTTCTCATAATTCACACTGACTTCCTTCACTGAGCATTTTATTTATTTATTTATTTTTATTTTTATTTATTTGGATTTTCGAGACGGTTTGTGTAGTTTTGGAGCCTGTCCTGGAACTCACTCTGTAGACCAGGCTGGCCTCCAACTCAGAGATCCTCCTGTCTCTGCCTCCCGAGTGCTGGGATTAAAGGCGTGGCCACCTCTGCCGGCTCACTGAGCATTTTAAACACTGAATTCAGGGTCTCTAATCCCTAGAAATGTTCTAGTTGAGCCAGCACTGAGGTGGCTACAGTAAGTGAGTCAAGTACATATGCACCTTTATCCACTCAGCTGAAATAGTCTGTCTCTTCTCTGGCCAGACCACAAGCATGTTGGCAAAGGCTATGTGCAGAGGGAAAGCACTGCAGAAAGCCCACCAATACAGAGCAGTAGCTGAGTTTAAGTCTGCTGGCAAACCAGCAAGCTGTTTCTCCCCGGCTTCTGCTTCAAGGTCCTGCCCTGACTTCCCTCATTGACGACTGTGACCTGGAGTACAAGATGAAATAAATAAGGCCTTCCTCCCTACAGCTGCTTTCATTCAGTGTTTGGTCACAGCACCAGAGACAAACTACAACACTGACTGAAATGTTGTGGAACTTATTCTGTACTTATATTCAGCAGTAAAACTTACCACACTGGTGGCAGCAGGGAGCAAAGAGCATCTGGAAATCATGCTCACAGTACTTCCTTCCTTCAAACTGGAAGAAAAAGCACAAGGGCCATCAGCTTACACACACGAAACCACCAGAGGGCAATGATTCCATGAAAAGACAAACAAAAGTGGCTTCTGCTGTTGTCTTATGGTGTGTGTGTGTGTGTGTGTGTGTCCTAACATTCACAAATCAACTATCCCAGTCCTCACCAAAGGAGGTTTTTTTTTTTTTTTTTTTAAAGATTTATTTATTTATTATGTATACAGCATGTATGACTGCAGGCCAGAAGAGGGCACCAGATCTCATTACAGATGGTTGTGAGCCACCATGTGGTTACTGGAATTGAACTCAGGACCTCTGGAAGAGCAGTCAGTGCTCTTAACCTCTGAGCCATCTCTCCAGCCCCCATAATTTTATGCTTATGATGTACAACATAATATTTTTTCTTTTTTTTTCCAGAGCTGAGGACCGAACCCAGGGCCTTAGCGCTCTACCACTGAGCTAAATCCCCCACCCCAAGGAGGTTTTGTTTTTTGTTTTTTCTTTTTGTTTGGAGACAGGGTCTCATCATGTAGCCCTGGCTGGCTGGAATTTGCTATGGAGACTAGACTGACCTTGAACTCACAGAGATCTGCCTGCCTCTGCCTCTGGAGTGCCGTCATTAAAGGTGTACACAACATGCCTGGCTAACTTTGGGACACTCCTCTATGCTGGTACAAGGACTGATCTGACGTTGGATGGTCTAACACCCACATAAAAGTTGGAAATAGGTGTATGTGCCTGTAACCTGGCCTGGGGAAGGGGCACGGTGACGTTGGATGGTCTAACACCCACATAAAAGTTGGAAATAGATGCATGTGCTTGTAACCTGGCCTGGGGAAGGGGAACAGTGACAGGTGGACAAAGCTCATTGGCCAGACAGCCCAGGCTAACGGATGAACTTTAGGTTCAGTTAGAAACACTGTCTCACAATATAAAGTGGAGGATAATCAAAGAAAATCACCTCAGCTTTCTCATGTCCAGGCACACATGTGCACTCCCAAGCACACACAGACAGCACACTCAGAAGCTGTACAAGGTGAGAACAGAGCAAACAGCTGGTCTCACTTCAGACTGTGCTTGGTTATTTTTCCCGTACATAACTCTAAGGTTTATAAAAAAGTATTTATCTTTATTTTATGTATATGGGTGTTTTGTCTTCATGCATGTCTGTGCACCGTGTGTGTCTGATGTCCATGAGGACCAGATGAGAGCATGAGTTCTCCTGGAACTGGAAATATAGATGGTTGTTAGCTAACATGGGGGTGCTTGGAACTGAGCCTGGATCCTATGGAAAGGCAGCCAGTGCCCTTAACCACTAAGTCATCTCTCCAGCCTTATTTACCTTTATGAATTGGACGAAAGCTACAGACCCCTCAACCCAGATAATTTGCATATATGTAAAGCCCCCTCCCCTTATTATTTTAGGTCAGTATCTAAAAATTTTCACTGTAAGACTAAATATTTACAAGGGGTACATACTCTAGCATAATTTTTAGAAAAAAAATTTTTTTTCAAGACATTGTTTCTCTGTGTAGTTTTGGAACCTGTCCTGGATCTTGCTCTGTAGACCAGGCTGGCCTCGAACTCACAGAGATCCGCCTGGCTCTGCCTCCCGAGTGCTGGGATTAAAGATATGCGCCACCACTGCCCAGCTAGAAATGATTTTTATTTATGTCTGTGGTGTTTTACCTGAATATATGTCTGCACCCCCCTGCATGTCTGTTGCCCATGGAGGCAGAAGGCGGCACTGGATCCCCTGGAACTGGACTTACAGACAATTGTGAGCGCTCATGTGGATTGTGGAAATCAAACTTGGGCCCTCTAGATGAGCAGCCAGTGCTCTTAACCACTGAGCCATCTCTACAGCTTCTTCGCCTTTTTTGTTTGTTTGTTTTTGAGACAGGGTCAATATGTAGTTCTGGCTGGCCTGAAACTCTATGTAAACCAGATTGACCTTGCACTCAGAAAGGTCCACCTGCCTCTGCCTCCTAAGTGCTGGGATTAAAGGTGTGCAACACCATGCCTGGCTTACTATCAATATTTTTAAGTGACCAATGCAGATTTGAAAACTAAACATCCAGGTGTAGTGCTTTACATACCTGTAATCCAAGATATTTGAGGCAGGAAGATTGTGAGTCTGAGGCCATAGGGAAACCCTGTCTCAACAAAACAAATGCTCAGCCCCAAACAAAACCACAATTATATCCCTTAGAAAGCAGGCATTGTAGAGATGAACATGGCAGCCCTTTCCTTCCAAGCACTTTTCATGGGCCCATGCCAAATATAGCTTACCAGAAATCAGGGTACAACTTTTTCCTAGTTGGATATCTTTTTAAATAAATATACATGTGCCAACTTTTTATAGAAATAAATTCTGAGAAGTAAGACATCACAGAAATTAAGAACACAGACTATAGCTCCAGGCTGTAGGTATTCAAATGCTACTACAACCTCATTGGCTTGCTGAGTGACCATGGTGTGAGTGTAAGTGTGTGTGTGTGTGTGTGTGTGTGTGTGTGTGTGTGTGTGTATCCTCTTGGTGCCTCCCGGGAGTCAAACCTCTATTGCTTTGGCTGTTTATTTAAGCTCATAGCATATGGTTATGTTTACAACTTCTTTTATTTGGAGAAACAATTCATATTATTAATCTGTATGAGAGTAATCCAAATTCTTTTAAAAAAATTCATTCATACGCCGGGCAAGGGTGGCGCACGCCTTTAATCCCAGCACTTGGGAAGCAGAGGCAGGTGGATCTCTGTGAGTTCGAGGCTAGCCTGGTCTCCAAAGCGAGTTCCAGGAAAGGCGCAAAGCTACACAGAGAAACCCTGCCTCGAAAAACCAAAAATTCATTCACTTATTTTAAAGTTTTGTGTGTGTGTGTGTGTGTGTGTGTGTGTGTGTGTGTGTGTGTGTGTGTCTGTGTGAGCAGATGCCCACAGAAGCTAGAAGAAGTCATTGGAACTGGAGTCAGAGGCAGTTGTAAGCCCAAGTTACATGGGTACTGGGACCCAAGCCCAGGTCTTCTGTAAGAGTAGCAAATTCTCTTAACAACTGAATCCTCTCCAAACTCTTTTTTGTTTTGTTTTTTGAGACAGGGTTTCTCTGTGTAGCTTTGGAACATGTCCTGGAACTCGCTCTGTAGATCAGGCTGGTCTCCAACTCACAGAGATCCGCTTGCCTCTGCCTCCTGAGTGCTGGGAATAAAGGCGTGCACCACCACCGCCTGGTCCCCAAACTCTTTCTTGATAACATAGTAAGATACTTGAAACATACTACAAAGAACTTGATAGTAATTCATTGAATTATAACATTCTAGAAAGATAACCATGCTTATAGCTTAAAAAGATTCCTCTTTTTATTTAACATGTAAGTATGTCGGAGGAAGTATGTATCATGCATGTGTTGGGTATGTGTGTGGCAGTTGTGAACTGCCTCACATTGGTGCTGAGAACCAAACTCAGGTGTTTTTAACAACTGAGACATCTTTCCAGTTCTACTCAGAACTTCTTGCCAAAGCTCTGTGTTGGCCTCACAGGGACTGTGTGTGTGTTGGGGGTGGGGGTGTCGAGGGGGTACGGCACCTAAGTGCAAGCCATAGCAGACAGTAGAGGTCAGAGGATGGATAAACTTGGTTATCAGTCCTTGTTTTTCACCTTATTTGAGAAGGGTCTCTTGTTCACTGCTGCGAACGGTTGGTCTATAAGCTCTCAAGAATTCTCAAAACAAAACAAAACAAAACAAAAAAAGAGTTCTCCTGTCTGTATCTCCCATCTTCCCACAGGTATGCACTACTGCATCTGGCTTTTTAAAGGCACCACCAGGCTCTTTATTCAATGGCAGCCTGGAGTTGATGTGCTCACTCTCCTAGGGCAGCTTCCCTCTCATTCTATTTCACATCTCATATACTTTGGTCCTTTGCAGGCTTGATGCAAGAGTTACACAGGACCCTTAGAAAAGCATGACAGCAGAATCTCACTATAGTCCACAAACTATGGTGATACTGTGTTCCCCAAAATATTGTGCACCCTAATAAACTTATCCGGGGTCAGAGAACAGAACAGCCACTAGATAGACATAGAGGCCAGAAAAAGGTGGCACAAACACCTTTAATCCTAGCATTCTGGAGGCAGAGATCCATCTAGATCTCTGTGAGTTCAAAGCCACACTGGAAACAGCCAGGCATGGTGACATACACCTTTAATCCCAGGAAGTGATGGCAGGAAGCAGAAAGGTATATAAGGTGTGAGGACCAGGAACTAGACCCTGGTTAAGCTTTTAGGCTTTTGAGCAGCAGTTCAGCGGAGATCCATTTAGATGAGGACTCAGAGGCTTCCAGTCTGAGGAAACTGACTGATCAGCTGAGGAATTGGCAAGGTGAGTAAGCTGTGGCTTGTTCTGCTTCTCTGATCTTCCAGCATTCACCCTAATACCTGGCTCCAGTTTTGATTTTATTAATAAGACCTTCTAACAATTCATGCTACAACAAATATTTAGGATTTGTGTGCTGACAGCTGTGTCAGGAACAGGGCACAGATATCCACTTGGTTGGCCTGGTGCTTCAGGACAATCTAGTCAGCCAGCAACCCAGAAAGGTGCCCAGCAAGAACTTGTGAAGAAAAATATCCTCCACTGTTTGAACGACAGTATGGTCTTCCCCGTCCAGGTTACCCATGTGCAGTGACAGCTGGCCCTTCCACTGGGTGATGGAACATGGAGTGTGTACTTTCTCATAGGTCACTAGCTTGTCCCCCTTGCCCTCAAGGACTAGTACAGCTCAGTTCTTGGTGCAGAGCTTATAAGTGAACAGGGTGTGCCAGGCATCCTAGCTGCAGGCAGGCCCCTGTGGCCCTGCTGGATATGCAACCATCTTGGGTAAGAAGAGTTCAGGGCATGCCAGAATCTAGCTTTTATGTGAGTTTTGAGGATCTGAATTTAGGTCTTTGATGCTTTCAAGGCAAGTACTCTGCCCATAGAGCTATCTTTTCAGGTTATTCACAGGAACT